CTGACCCCGGCGCCCCGCGGCGCAAGCCCGCAGGCGACGTACGTGGGTCATCGATCGATAAGAGCCCTCTTTCGGTTAACCCCGCAGGACTAGAGTTAAAAACAAGAATCAGGAAACGACAAATGCAGTTTTTGGGACACCTGAATAGACATAAGGGTCTTGAACATCTAGCTCTCTCACTGGCAAAATTGAAGGCAAGCGAGGCAGGGGTAGGCCTAGAACAACATACTTAGGTAACCTAAACAAATGGGTAACAGGGAAAGATTAGGGAAACGTAGCTTTTTTGAGAGCACCGAGCAAAGGAATGAATGGAAAACCATGATCGTCGATATCTGTCACAGATCTCTGGCACTGGATGATAATGATGAATGCAAACACCCCCACCTTTTGGCAAAGGCCGTCAATTGAGTGGTGGTAGGTGTTACAGTGGGTTGATAACTCATCATCAACGCAAATCAACAAACATCCCCACTCCCACCCACTGGCAACAATTTGAACAATAAAGTAATAAAGTCATTATGTATTCTACATGATAGGTCAAATACATTTTTTTAAACATTATCTACTAGGGACAAAATTATCGAGCACCTACACAACAACTAAATCTAGATCTAGATATATCTAGATCTGCACATCAATTGCCACTGACTTTGACGAAGTCCACTTTTCTGCGTCACGCGAGTAGAGAACTTGGTTGTTGTGAAGTGAGTAAAGTAGAATCAAGAATCGAAAAGACACCGTCGGGACGGAGACTTTGAGAGAATTTGAAAGAATGAAGAGAAAGTTCAGAGTTGCAAACAGTATTTCCCTTGCTCAAGATGGCATTCTTACAACACTGGCCAAAATGTAAAGTAAAATCAAAACTTACCAGCTGGTATCGTCCTCCAGTTCCAACCCACTGAGGTCTAAATTGTCCAAATCTACTCCACCATCGGCCATCTTGAACCATTGACGTGTTTATCAAAAACAAAACTGTTGGTGTTGTCGTAAAAGTAATCGAACACCCAATGTCGCAAACCTTTCGTCTTTCATCCGTGTTGTTCATTATAATAATTAACTATTATTAAAATTAAATATCAACAAAGACTACAATAATAATCACTGTGCTTTTAAGTGCAGCACTGCTGCACGCATTGTATACTGTGCCCTAATTCTTTGATGAAATAATAGTTAGTCATAATTATTTTTACTTTTAATCTCCTTATTGAGGTTACTTAATCTGCAGTGGCGCCATACAATGATGGAAAACCAAAATTATCTCGCGTGAAAATAAATTAAATATATTTCAATTGTATTGTCAGGACTAGCTGCTTTCATGTCAACAAACACCCAGAAGCAGAATAAGTAGGGAAAAAACAACAATGGCGTTTAGTATGTGTAAGCCTATCATCCGTACGTCGTGTTTTACTGTCGTGTCCATACTACGACCTGGGGAACGAAGGCAAAGTCATACAATACAGTGTATGCCTCCCAGGAAGTTGAGATTGTTTCAGAATGCTATCAGGTCTTGTTTAGTTTTAGTAAGGTTTTACGGCGCTTGCAACTGCAATGTCATTTGAGCGTCAAGGCGTGGATGTCAACAGAGATCGAAGTCCAAACAGGGAATCAGACTTACTCTGCTCACCTCTCTAGCCTCAACAGCACAAAGTCTGCTTCGACTATCAAGACACCCCGGAAATAGCAGGTCACAATAGAGTGACAAACATACAAAAGAAGTAGAGAAAAATGACGATAGTAAGGATTAGGAAAGAAAAAACAGCAGTTCCAGCACAGTAAGGTATGAGCATGACATTGATGAATCAGCCCATTTACAATTCTACTGTGGATAAGAACATGTTAATATCCCCCATTTGGAAATGACCTAAAGACACTTCAGTCAGTAGCA